GATACATAAAGGTATTTTTTTAATTTATTTTTCTGAGAATTCCAGTTAAGCCAGTGACTCAGAGAAGGTCAATATTTCTTACATCGACATATATACTGGACAATTCATTTCCATAGGCTCCAATAACACGTTTTTGAGGCCAAATGGGAGGTAGCCACCACTGCCATTTTGACCGTGTCACAGGTTCCGTCAAGCCCAGACAATTCCACAAAAGGGAAGAGAGGTGGAGCTGAGGGTGGGGCTGTAAGGCTGGGATAAACTGACGACACCCGGTCAAACTAGCTACAAGCTAACCTGAAGCTAACCCAAAGCTAATGCGGAGGTGGGAGCTAAGCTAACGGAGGTAGCAACCTAGCTACAACCAGAGTTAACTGTGCACAACACCAGAGCTTCTGAGACAGAGATGCGCAGAGCTGCCGCTGGGGAGAACTGGGTGGAAAGGTATCCATCCCAGAGCTCCCCAAGCCGGCAGTCAGTGCAGCAGTCACAAGCCGCGATCAGACAGGGATGCGCCGAGCTGCGGGGAGAACCAGCCGGCAGCCCGCGCAGCACACAGAAGCCGCGATCAGACAGAGATGCAGGGAGGGGAAAACCGGGTGGAAAACATCGGTCTCCCAAGAGCTCCACAAGCCGATAGTCGGAACCCAGCTCCACCAACATGTTATATTTCAACCCATTTTCTAAAGTGCAGCATTATGTTAAATGCACTGGGGTTTACCCTATTACATTTAAACTTCATGGTTAAACAGTACATGTTAAAAACTAAGCTCAGCTCGGCAGTGACCTAAAATACATAAATATAATTTTACTTACCAAAAAAAATGAAGTGAAGACTCCTTGGACGCTCTATTAGTGCAATTAATGCCATAGCAAGTCATTTTGTCCAACAATTGCACAAAAAATATCCAAAAAAGAATACACAAACACAGAGACTCTAAATCCTGGAACAGTTTCCAAGTCAGACCGAGGCTCTACAGAGGCCTTTCCACGGAGCTAGCTCTGTGGTCACGTGGGTCTGAGGCGGCGGTCACGTGGGTCTGATGCTCATTAATTATACAGAATTTTAGGCTTTTGATACACTTAAACAGAAGAGTGAGAAAAAAATTCACCATCTTCAGAGTTGTCATGAGTGTAAACTAGATAATTTAAACCAAAAACATGTTTTGGTACCAGGCTGTAAACATGTTTATTTCTGCTGTGAAATTGGTATTTTTAACATGGGAGTCAATGAGGATTTGCTCGCTTCTGACACCAGCCCCCAGTGGATGAGGGTGGAGCTGCAATTTATGGTACTTCCGGGTTGGCCTCAATTTTGGAGCCGCATTGTGGGGGCTTGATTTCTTCACTTGTGGGTTACTTTATTTCCTAAACCAAATGAGACAAAAAACTGGCCATTGTAAACTGAAACCGTTCAACAGGCTATAAACACCGTATTAGGACCATCCCAACTTTGATTGTGAAAGCTACATTAACTCTGTGAATGTAAAATAAGAAGGCAAAACAAGGCAGTTTTATTTATTTACACAGAGGCAATTCAACATGCTTTCCAGGTGCAAGATCGGCAAGAACATAAAATATGTGAGATCGGGGGGTGCTGCTTCTCGTGGACCAGTCCACCCCTGAGAATGAGGGACAAATTTGTCTGTGTTAAAAAGTCTGAAATACATTACAACAATGTAAACACAATTGTAAATACACTATTGTGAACCGGATAGGTGGCTGAAATGATGGCAGGGTGGTCCAGTAAAGCAATGTGCCCCCTGTTGTCCTGGCAGGGACATGCTTTGCAACACTCTCCAGGACATGGAGAAGTCCGTAAGTAAAATATCACCATCAATGCATGTGTCTCTCCCTTGCGGAACAGACAGAGATGTAAAAATTAGGCTTTAGGTGTTTTGCCCAAGAACACTACAGCAGCATTCTCTGGCAGAAGCTGGGATTGAAAATGCAACCTTCCAAATACTGGACAACCCACTCTACCTCCTGAGCTACTGCTGCCTCTGAATGTAAGAAATGAAATAAAAAAAGGCAAAGTTAAAGGGTGAGCCGTGCACAGGTCCACAACAGGTTGCCAAAGTGGACTGATCACTGCTCCACATACTGCATTACTAAAGTCAAATGCATTTTCAATCCAAAATTATGCAAAAAGTCTTGTGATTAAAATTTACTACCAAATAGTAAATGACCATACATCATTAGGATTTATGTCATTGGCTCCTAAGCACAGTTAAAGATCTGTGTACTAGATCTGCCACAAATGGACTCTTGCCTTTCAGGAACTCTTATGGACAGGGGTTTTTCTTTTATCTGCTCTAGTGATGGGAATTGCAGCTCTTTTTAGAAAGCCGGCTCTTTTGGCTCAGCTCACCAAAAAGAGCCGGCTCTTTTGGCTCCCAAGTGGCTCCTCAGATTTTCTGTTGTGTAGAGTACATTTATAACCAAAATAATGCAAAATTATATGTAAAATTATCGACTAATGTAAAAAAATGCAATATATGAAACATTTATCATTTCTATGGATTTACTAACTAATCACTTTAAGAAATCTCCACTTTCCGACTGCTGGCTCTAATCTTCTCACCGTCTTCGTCACACTCTCCTCTCGCTCGCCTTTTTCCTCCTCCTCATTCCCTCTTGTTTCCCTCCACCCGCATGTGCTCTGCTGTGTGTCTGAGTCTGATCCTCCCTCTTCCCCGCCCCTACTGCTCTATGTGTGGACAGTCTGGACACGCAGTTGCACATGTTGACCAATCGCCTGTAGCTTTCACCAAAGCAAGAGGGGAGGGGGAGGGGAGGGGATGGCTCCCAATGACTAGCCGGCTCTCGCTGTTCACTTCAAAGAGCCGGCTCTTAGAGCCGGTTCGTTCGCGACCGACACACCACTAATATGCTCACAAAAGTCTGGAATGAGAGTCCACAAGATATTAGCACAACTTCATTGAAAAGTCTAAAAGAAATTGTGTTTTTCATTTATTAGATCAATACACCTGTAATCACTTCTATTGGTGCTTATTTTAATTGTATATGCTTGTATGATTGTTCTGTCTTGTCTTGGTATTTATGCCTGTTCAGAGTTATATGTTCTACAGAACAGGAACCAGCTAAAAAACTGTTTTTGACTGAGTCAGGCCCAATAGTTTGAATCTTTTCCTGTTTAACAAATTTTAATGAATTAATGAAAAGAAGGTACAGTATACGAAACAATCATTCAAAGCATTAAGTCATAAAATCGTAATGAGCATAAAACAGAAAAAAATTAAAATCAGAACAACAAAGTCATAAAATTATAAAATATTATAAAACTAGTTGTTAACTCATTGCCACAACTTATTAATGCGTTCCCACGAGTTATTAATATGCATTAATATCTCGTGGGAACGCATTAATAAGTTGTGGCCACGAGTTAATAACTCGTTCCCATGCATTAAGTATCTCGTGGCCACGAGTTACTTTTTTCCCCTCAATGTCACCGGACGCGCACCGTATATAAGAGCTATTTTCTAATCTTTATATGCGTCATGAATTTCAATATGATGTCTGTGATTTTTAAAGACACATTCTGATGCCAAGAAAGTCTTTATTTTCGAACTGAGGAAAAAGTTATTTCAGGTTTTGTATGAAAGTACGTCCAGGACTACAAATGTCAATCACCAAATTGACATCACTGAACCAGACATGGAGAAAAGCTGAGGAAAAATGGCTGTAAGCTCAGCGAGCTTCAAATAGAACCACCATAAATATTACCACTGGTCAGTAGCAGCTAGTTGGGGCAGAGGAGATGCTGTGGTCACGTCATTTATGCACCATAGTCATAATAAACACACATATTTACAAGATGATACATCTCAATGTATGTGACAGGCGTGGTCGAAACACACATAATTACTTATCATTTAAACTGAAGTTTCACTTGTAGTGGTACTTCATCTTACATCAGGGCATAAGGCAAAGCGCATTAGAAAATAGCTCTATTAGTCCTTGCCATAGATATCATATTAGCTAGATCCCCTAACTGGGAGTCGACAGCAGCCTTACACGGTGGCCATCTTACTTCGGACAGCTAACCGTTCTTTAGCTGAGGGTGAGCACGGCTCAAATAAAAATACTTATAACTCGATGAAATATTAACAGATTTACAAACGGTTTGCCTTATTACAAACCGTGTGATACATAGACTTGACGCGGGATACTTACACATGTTGAAATAACAGCTATTACTTTTGAAACCCGACATAATGGTGAACAATGTGTCCCGGCGAAGCTATTTTGTGCGTTAGAGAGAGACCACAATCAATAATTTTATAGGGTTCGTATGGTTCAACGAATCTAAGAAGTGTACGTAACCCTAATGTTTGTCTAAATGGCTGTCTTGGTGGATGTTTTAGTGTTTATTAGCTGTCTAACTTGGCTTAGAGAAGACGAGGCTGCCGTGGCTGCACCGCTTAGCTAAACTGTTTTACCTCATTGGAAGCTGAGGGTAAAATTGCCCTTGTTTTCCAGGCGGCATACTTTGTTAAAAAAATGTAAAAAATGTAGACTGAAGTATATTAAAATAGCGGAAATTGCTGGCTTTGTTTTTACAGAAATACACGTGAAACACAACAAGCATGCCTGACTTTGGTGCTGCCTATGAATGCTCTCATAGACGATGTCTTCAATCACGACAACGTGGGATCACCTTTCATTCGTAAGATTAAACAATAACAAAAATTCAGTTGTGTTAGGCTGATAAGTCTCTGTCATCTGCGTTGCTTTTAACTGCTTTTTAGAAATAACAGTGATGGCAAAGTTTAAGATCTATCAGCTAACTGTGATTTTAAAAAGTTTAATTGCTTGAATTCAAGATTTCTTGGTTAATCAATCATTGGATGTTTCTGTCTTGACACATTTTGTTTAACTATTGTTTGTCTTATGTTAAAGGAAAAGGCTGTAAACTACAATGATTTATAAAGCTGCCTACATTTGTCACTTGTTTAAGATTTCCCAAAGATGGAGAAAGAAGGAGGCAGTGGGAAGTTGCCCTAAGAAGTGTCTGTGATCTTCCTCAGAGCTGACGCTCAGTGGCGTCATGATCAAAACTGTCAGCAAGGTAAAAAAAAAACCTTCCCTGTGTTTCAAAAATAACCTACAAATGCAGTCAGAAGAAAAACACAGAAAGAATACACAAAACATGTTTGTAGTCTTTTGAAAAACTGCTGGCTTATCAAATCCCCCTGATAAATAAATACAATAAATAAATTCCACACTTACTAATCATGATTACTTGTTTGCCTTAGTTAAACTGTAGTTCTTGTCTGATTTCTCACCTGACATCATGTTGTTCTATAGGCCTATGTAAAGTTTAAAGGCAACCACACTGTCCAGTTACATTGGTAGTTGTAATTTCAGGATTTGTTGTGCGGCGAGCCATGACCAAGCTGTCCTGTGATGTCCGCCGTGCCAGCCTGGTGATGGATGCTGCATCTGCCTGTGATGACCAAAGCTACCATTTGCTGACTCTGAAGAGCAACGGGGGTCTTGTGGTCTCATCTGAAGGTACTGTGAGGGTCATCAGAGCAGCAGAGTGGGCAATTCGCCAGGCATCAGTGGGCAGACGATCACAGCCCATCAAACCACTGGAGGTCATCTACTTTGTGCGCAAGAGGATCAGGTCAGTGTCATGGTGGGTGGCAGTTTCTTGACCCACGACATGCAGAATCACAACACAGGAACCGGCAAGTAAGTAAAACGTTTTTATTATTAAATGAAGAACAACGAGAGGAACGGGAACAGACGATGTGCAGGCTGGCAGCAAGATTCCAGGAGAGGATTCTGAGGAGGGAGACAGAGTGAGTATATGGTGGAATGACGGAGGATAATCTTAGGAGTGGAGCATACTAATTGCAGATAGTGGTGAGAGCCTCGGGAAGGGCTAGGTCAGGTCCGGGGGAGCAGGAAGGCTCCAGAAGGTGAAGGAACGGTTGAACAGAGAGGAGGTAGGAGCAGAGGCTTGGTGAGGGCAGGTGAGCGGCTGAGAGCGGGCGGCCAGGGGAGGAGACAGCGTGATCTGGGTTGCAGGAGTCCGGGCTGGTTATGGAGATGGTGAAGTGTGGAGTGAAACCTGGAGCGGAGCAGGGAAGAGTAGTCAGGGTTTTTCTGGCGACAGGAAATCCAGCAAAATTTCACAAGATCAGGTAAGCAAAACAGGAACTAGAAAAAAACACGGGATCGAGACAGGTAAACGGCTAGAGCTACCCAAACAGAGTAATCATCCGGCAAAGTGAAGTGTCACACTGCTCCTTAAATCCCCTGGACCTTGATGACAGGATTAGCTGCAACTGGAGACTCTCAGACACGCCCACCTGAAACAATGCTCAGAGGAAAACAGGGTTACATGCAGGAAGCTCACCACGGACCGTGACAGTCAGAGGATGTCTTTTTGCTTGGGGAGCTCATCAGTGAGACACAGTACGGAATTGGGTCTCACTCCCATACACTGTCGACATCTAATGTCTCCCTGTTCTTTAAGCTGAGGATGCACCACATTAGCAACTCTTAGCTTTCAGTGTGACAGCGTGAGACAGAAGCTCACAAAAGCTGTCCTTTTCAAAGGTCAGTAGGAATCACAATGTTCTTTAGCATCTGTCTTATATCTGTTATTGTCAACATAAAAAAAACATGTATAATTTGTAATAAACGAGTTTTTCATAACGGTCAGTCTGTCATTCATTTACTCTTTAATTTTTGAAATGTTAATTTAGCCCTTTACTTTAACTCACAATTATCCCAGTTTTCTCTATTCAAACTTTCATTTTAAATGGGTTGCAGGCTGAAGTGGAAATAAATATAAATTATTATAATAACTTGCCAAAGCAAGTATGTATTAGGTTCATATTACGTGCAAATAATAAAGTCAAAGTAAAGAAAATACATTCTGTATATCTTCATTTGTCTTTATATAAAATATTTTCTCAGTCATTTAGGTTCTAGAGTTGTTTAGTTTTTTGGACTGGGTGTTTTTACTTCAAATTTTGTTTGCTGCTTCTGTGTTTTAATTTTTTTTTGTTTTACTCTTTTCTGTAAATGAAATCAGGTATTTGAGTTTTTATTTATAAGTTGATATTAAGTTCTAAGGTATCTTAAAACTTATATTTATAAGTTGACCTCAGTTTACGAACTACAGCAGAAGCAGATCTTGTTGACATTAAAACGATAAGTCTATAGGAAATTGACAGGATAGGGGAAAACGGCTGGAAAGTGGAGTGAAATAAGGGGAGTTTCCTGCCAAAACTGATATATTTCATAGCCACATCTCTAATGTTTCTAAAAAATCAAACCATATAAAAATCGGTTGAAAATTGAGAAAGTTAAGAGTTGTTTAAATTGTGTACGCACCACTAAACACCAGTGGGCAACTGTCCAAAGGTCTAGGTCTAGCTGCAGACACAGCCCCGACAAAACACGCCCCTATGTACAAAACACGCGTGCATGTACGAAGACGAGAACTCGCATGCGTGTCGCAAGATGGAAATGACGGTAAAGACAGATTTATATTTTCACAACTTGCGAAGATTTTGTACTTTAAATTTGAACGTTTAAGACAGTTTGATAGATAGCGAATTAGTGATTTTTTTCTGAAACAGTTTTATATAAAATTAAGCATTATGGGGGAAGACGTCATGGACGCAAAATATTTTTTATATAATTTTTAATGGGCTACACGCAAGCCTTTTGGCCAAAATAAACGTAACAATAGGCTTTTATTGGACCGTTTATGACTCCTCATCTAATAAGCAGCAAACTCACGACGGCAATGTGGTAGCCCTAAAATTGTCGTGCTCAGCCGTGTAAAATTTGTTTAAACATGTAACAGAAAATTCCCTTAAAATCCATTCACATATATTTTTACATGTCAACATTTACATGTATTATAGTTTTTTGGACAAATATTTGCGTGTATAGCATCCAGGAAATATTAGTCTGATGGTAAAGTGGTGTCCACGATAAAAAATGGACTTGGAAGGACAGAAAAAAAAATTGTAACCTAACTTTTCCCTGAAGTTAATTCAGATATATTTGTACATGCCTACAGTTACATGTGAAATTATTATTTGACAATTACATGTGTAGTTCAACAGAAAGCATCCCAGCAAATATTGGTCTGCCAATCCTCTTTGGATAACTGTAAAACAAACTGATACAATTATTTGCTTTCCTCTGAGTCCACAGGACACCGACCGTGTGTATTTTAAGACACCTTACAGCTTTCCACCCAGAGAGCAGGTGAATATGAGTGAAGATTATTGCATGACAACAAAATAAAATTAATTGTAACTGCTGTGCATGATGTCATGTTCTTTGTGAGTCGTGATTAAGGACAATGACGGCATGGACTAACACAACGTGGTCACCATTCTGAAAATTTTTTTGTATCACATGAAAATATTTTGTAGCATTACTGTTGTCACTCTATTACTCATGGTTAATATCTTGTTACCTGCAACATGACAGACTAATGTCTACATGAAAGATGTCCTTTTGGTCACCTCATTACTCAGGCAACCATCCATCCACTTTCAGCTGTCCATGAATGTTGACCGGACAAAGCCACAGAAATGTACGGCAGTGGGCTGCAGTATGACTGGAGGTATTCTACAAACACAAGAACAGTGCTAATGCCTATATGTATTGTTTTCACATTGTTTATGACAGCCTCTAGGTGTGAATGTCATTTTTACTAATTGCTATTTATCTTTGTCTCATTAGTGAGAGGCAGCTGATGTCCTATGCCATGGAACTGCTCATATACTCGGAGAAATTCAGAAAAGCTCTGGACTCATCTGAATTTTTGAAGAGGCTGTAGCATTGTGTGGACATTTTTTTGGAAGGTTTTTGTAAGGCCAATAAAAGCTGTTGCTGGTTGTTTCATTTGTCTGAACTTTTTTTCTGCCAAACTTTTCTGCTTTTGTGTTTACAGTATATTCTTTACAGATTAGTGTATGGTCAATATCAGTTTACTAGTCTTGTGAATTGTACTTGATGCAAAATATTTTAGTAATTTCTAAATCAATACATTTTGTGTCAAAGGGCCAGCAATTATTCCTGTTAACATATATACACATGTAAATATGCCTAAAAATTACACATAAGCAGCTTTTCACTGTAAAGAAGCAATAAAAAATCATAAATAGTAACATAAATATTAACTACTCACTCGTATGAACTTAGACCCACTGTTAGTGTCTGTAAAAACAAATGGTTGAAAGTTAAATGTTGCTGTAGCAGGCGTGCTCCCAAAAATGGAGGCTAGTGGGCTTAAGGGGTTAATTAAAACGATTACCACTGATTACTTTTTCTGATATTTAATTTTATTGCATTTAAAATAAACACTTGCACATACATTACTCACCTGCTAACTTCAGTAAGCATAGGTATGTTGTGCCTATTGTCCGGCAACTGATTATTTGTTGGTGGTATCTGTGTTTTATAATCTCACTGGATGGCCATAAAGTGTGTATGCAAGAAAAAAAATCCATATTCATATTTAAACCTGGAGTTCTGTCTAATTACATTATTACTATTTCTGTATAAACGTATTCTTTCAATTGTGTTGTTCGCTGGGAGGGCCGCCGTTATTGAGCTCGGGGGTAGCTCAACAGGCACATGGGAGCGTGTTTGGACGGGGCTGCGTCTGCAGCTAGGTATTATTGCCTTGCATTCACTAATTTTTTGTTCTTCCGGGAACCTGAGCCGCCCGGAAAGGGAGGAGACAGGCACCTGGTGACCACTGTTCAGAATCCACACCCTCTCTCTCACTGCGTCGTTCACAGCATCTGTTGAAAAGCAACATGTCTTTAAACCAAAGAGTGTTCATTCAGGAATGTAATTTGTTGATACCCATAAAAAACATTCATTATTCATAATAATGCTGTGCTCCCCTGAACAAGACTTTTCCTTGTTTGTTTTATTTTATTTATTTATTTTTTTGTCTCCTGATGTTCCCATTTCTTTAGGATAAAAACAGATCAAACAAGAATGAACAATATAAAGAGAACATTTGGGGAAAAAAGACTAAATGTTCATTTTTGCTTTCAGGTAATCAACATTTGGAAAACACGAACCAGAGTATTTTTTGTGTTCAGCACACGCTATCATACCTTTCTCCTCTCTTTGTAAAACCAGTGCGCGCTTGAAATCAGATATAAAATGTTCACGCTTCAAACCTCGCACCCATTGTGTCTCCAGGGCCCTCCCCTAACGCATCTGTAGTTCCTTCTCCACCCTCGGTGGCTGACTTGACGTGCGCAATTGATTAAGGTTTGACGCTCTGGGTTCCTTGGCTGACGGGGCGTGCGGGTTAGAGTGAAATAAGGAAGAACTTCTTTATTCCAAAGAAGTGGCTGCCGTCATGGGGGATCCAGAGGTCGGCTCAGGTGTGAACAGATCGAAAAGGTAAGGACTTGAACTGGTTCCAGCATGGATTAGACCTTCGGACCCCACCTGTTGCGCGCATGCTCCTAACTTCCGACTTTATTATGAGAGCGAAGAGAGGGTATTAATATCTTCAATGTTGCCTTCAACAAACTTTCTAAAATAGCCTACAAGAAAATAATTTATCATTCACTTAATTCAACGCGCGCGCGTGTGTTTGAGAGGGGCATGAGAAAAAGAGCTCCGTGTTTAAGTAGGCTATCAGTATTTACGATTAAAGATTTTTTGCAATCATTTATTTTGTTAAGAATAAATGATGTAGCTTTAGATTATTTTCGTTCGCTCTAAATGACAAAATGAATAATTTTGCTCGAGCTGGAATCAACCACGTAAATGTATTTCTGTAGATTTTTGTTCTCATTTCTTATTTTCTCTCTGCTGCTTATTTCTCCCAGTTTTATTAAATAATTAAGCTGATGATAACATGTGATGGGAGAAGCTGCAGACAGATTGCACAGATAAAGACGGAAGGCAAACTCATCTGACGGATCTGAAAGGGGGGTGGGGGGTGGGGCATATAAACTATCCATCATGGACTAAACAGTTAATGCCAGCAGACGCTGTTAGGATTGAATGTGGATCTTGTTTTGAAAAAGGGCTGTTGCATCAGTCTCTCGATGCATGTTCCCACCACATTTCCCAAGACTCATTTATTTCACACATGTGTCTGCATACTGTGTGTCTAGGCCACATTTGAAAGAGAGCAGAAAGACATAGTTTCTAATGGTTTTCCTAACTAATTACAAATGATACCAAACCCTCTCGGGAATGGGTGGCTGCAGCAGAGAAAGAACCCGTATATGTTCAGTCATTGGTTGTTTAAAAAAGGAAAAAGCAACACACACACACACACACACACACACACACACACACACACACACACACACACACACACACACACACACACAAACATATATATATATTTGTTTTTATTTAATGCCACAGAGTTTGTTACATTTAGCAAATGATGATGCTATTGTCTTAAAACTGTATCACAATCACAGACTTCTACATCCAGAATGTAATAACTAAGTATTTGTAAAACAGGAAGAAAATGTAAAACATTTTAGGTTATATTTCAGCATTTTCTCAGTTCTAACACATGAAGCTGCATCTTATTTGTGAAGCTCATCAGTTTTATTGATCTTTTCTTCTTAGATCACCTGTCGAGAGTTTGGGACTTCAGAAAAAGCCTGTATTTCAGGCTTGGTTTCATTTCCTGATCATTATCTGCATACTGGTCTTTGTTATGTGCTTGGCCGTGTCAGACGGGAGCCTGACCTGGTGGGAGAGATTAGCTCTTTATAAACGCTTTTTAAACAAAACAACCAAGTTTCAAGCTCCTGCGTACCGAATTCACCCACACCACAAATTTAAACTGATGGAAACTCATACAACCACAGAACCCCCTACTGTGCAGCCTGGTATTCGCTACCATCAAGCCTATCCACGCAACTACCAGTTTGTAATGGACAACCGAGATGTTTGCAAAAGCAGGACACCTTTCCTGGTCCTGATGGTTCCAGTGGCACCACACAATGTTGCAGCCCGGGATGCAATCCGACAAACGTGGGGAAAGGAAAGCGTGGTTCAGGGCGAGGTGGTCCTCACGTTGTTCATGTTGGGCTTGTCTAATGATGCCGATGCCGAGAAGATCAAACAGGAGAACGAGCAGCACCACGACCTGATCCAGAGTAGCTTCATGGACACGTATCTCAATCTGACCATCAAAACCATGGTGATCATGGACTGGCTGGCCACACGCTGCCCAACAGCAGCATATGCAATGAAGGTTGACTCTGACATGTTCCTGAACATTGACAACCTGGTGATGATGCTACAGAAACCAGGAATCCCCAAGCTAAACTACCTGACAGGAATGCTTATGTGGGACAGGCCAGTAATCCGATCAAAGGACTCCAAGTGGTACGTTCCAGAGGAGATGTACCCTGATCCTCAATATCCAACATACACTCTGGGTATGGGTTACGTCTTTTCCAACGATCTTCCTGAGAAATATGTTGAAATCTCAAAGGTCATCAAGCCCTTTAACATAGAAGACGCTTATATTGGAATGTGCATGAAAAAACTTGGACTTGCTCCAACCTCGCCACCAGATCCCTCCCAGTTCAAGGCCTATAACTCAAAGTACAATCGCTGTGAATACTCTAAAATCATTACCTACATCCTGGGCACGTCAGAGGAACTGAAAAATTATTGGGCAGACTACAAGAAGCCTGGACCACATTGTGAAGGCAGCACATAGCCCTCACAATGATTAAAGACTGTGATGGATTAAGTTTTATTTATTTATGGACTTTTGCTGTCCTTAAATCCTTTTATTTTGGTAATGAGAGTGGGGAACCCAACTTTTAGAAGTGAACATGTAACATAATCAACTTTTTTGAAAGGACTGATTTGATACTTATTAGAGAAGTTCTGGATCCAAACAGGATTTAGGTGTTTCTAGTTCCTCCTTGCAGTAACATATACGTTACTTTAAATGGAACCATCTGACCTGTGTGACAATAAGGTGTGAGTTTTTATTTTTGCACTATTTTGGTTATAAGTGTGCCAGTTTAAAAAAATAATGTGTTTAAAATACGTAAAGCTGGTGCAACAAAATAGGCATCGGTTTTATCTTGTTTGCCATCTTGAAGATTCAGGGTATTTTCAGGAATCGTTCACTCATTGTTGTTTGCAAACACACAGTAGCATTAATAGACCTACTGAATGTGTGAGGTTTTGCATATTTTAGTATTTATTTTTTAGAAATTTATATTTTATCATATTATTAAACAAAGACAAACATTTGAATGTGTTCTGGAGTGTCTGGTATTCATCAGTAACAGATTTTTGTTTCCCATATAAGTGGAATTTGACACTAGAGTCTTTTTACGTGGATATTTTTTTACCTTAATAAGCATTTTTAGTGATCTCCACTATCAGACACTCTCTTTTTCACTTTTTTTAACCATTCCAATTTATTTACCTTTCAACAAATAGACAAAGTCGTATAAAAATAATAAACGGGGCAGCAGTAGCTCAGGTGGTAGAGCAGGTTGCCTCATGATCAGAGAGTCATGGGTTCGATTCCAGCTCCCGCCAGGGGTATCCTGCTGTTGTGTCCTTGGGCAAGACACTTCACCCAACTTGCCTGTGTTAGTGGTGGTCAGAGGGGCCGACGGCGCCAAATGGCAGCCTCGCCTCTGTCAGACCTCCCCAGGGCGGCTGTGGCCACAAGTAGCTTACCATCACTAGCAGTGTGTGAATGTGAGAGTGTGTGAAAGCGTCTTAGGGTGTTTAGAAAAGTGCTATATAAGTTCAATGTATTATTATTATTATTATTATTATTATTATTATTATTAAACCATCACCTTCTGTGTTTCACACCAAGTTACCAGAATACATAGGATTTATCTTGAGCTTGTTTTGATGATGAGGCTTTTAACACATTTTTTAAATTCATATTTCCTATTTTTAATTCTGCCATTTCACAAGGGAAGCCTTGTTACCATTAGATTCCTGAAGGGGGCAGCAGAGGACCACTATTTCCGGTCAAAACCACAACAAGGGCCTTTCAATGAATCAACTGGAGCCTCGGAGGTCCAGATGAGCCAACAATCACAAATATGAAATCCAACATACTTGAAAACAAAAATTTTCATTAATATGATGTTATGTGCAAATAAAATAACTATTTTGTGTAAGCTGATTATCACAATAAAGCAAAAGGTTGATTTAATGATACAGTTAAGCAGGGAAAGTAAAAATATTTAAAATGTTTATTTATTTGAATTTTAAGAAGTTTTAGGAGATGTTTCCTCAGAGTGAAAACTAAACTCTGATCCAAAAGACACAACTCCTACTTTTAATTTGTATTCAGTTTCCATCCATGTTCTGATCTCTTAATGTGTTTTACATAATTCAATATATTTGCAGCTAAAATAATTGAAGATCGACTTCCGTTTTATTACTATTAAACACAGTTTTGCAAAGGGCTGTATTAATTAGTGACACCTATTTTTTTCTTGTTTGAAACAACGAGAGACCTTTAGACAACAGGTGGCGCTTATTTCTCACCTGTAGGTGTTTGAGATCCTGATTGTTTAATTCAAGAGAAAGCGGACTCTGCTGTCTCATTTCATATGTCGCTGCAGGTTGTTGAAATTAATCAGATAAGTAGATTATGTAATAGTGCCACTTGTCTAACGCATCCGGGTTTATCTTTTAAACGGCCTGCAGTTTGTGACTATGCTTCTAAAACTTAATTAATTTCATTAAATGTTGGAATAAAATCCCAGCTCTCCAGAAAACAAAAGGACGAGTCCGAGAGGAGAGCTGCCCGCACACCGAGACCTGGCGATTCAGCTCCCCGGGTCAGGATCGTATTTCCTCGGCTGCTCGGTCTGAGAGCCGCCGGTCTCTGGGCTTCTGTTATAGAAGGATGTCCGCTTCTTCAGCGGCTTTACCGAGACTCCTGGGAGGATTCTCCTCAGAGGAGCGACTGGTCCCTCCAGCAGATGAGTAAGATCCGGATAGTTTATCAGTATATGTGTCAATTTAAAACGACTGAATTGTTCAGGCTTCTTTGGACGCTTTTCACAAACAGAAGGGTGAATACAGTTTTTAGATGATTGATTACAGTTTTCGTCCAAATGGAACAGTTAACTGAATGCACGGAGATAAATGTAATGTTTCCATATTTACTGAACGAATGAGAACTGAAAAGGCACATAATTTTTTAACCAGTAAAAACAGGAAATGTTAAAATTTCTGACAGTTGTCGACAAAAAGCTACTTTGACGTCAGATACGAAAATTAATTCTCATGTGAGTGAGTGTGTAAAAATGAGAACAGCTGATTCTCATAATTGAATATTTATATTTTGTAACTGGATTTCTAAATTTAGTTTTAGAACCAAAATGACAACAAACCAGCTCAGCAGTTGAGACAAAATTGGTTTATGTATGCATTTCTACCTACAGACATTTGGATCAAATAAGGTTTTTATAGAAAATTTGCATCCATACCCCCCTCGCTTTCACCAAACAGCAACAACAACAACAAACGAGACTTACTAATTGTGCCATTCACTGTCAGCATAATTTCTGCCCATCAGCATAACCCAACACCCTGACCACTGGACTGTGACAAGTAAAAAATATAAACATTCTGATTGCTGAAGGCATGAAGAAAAACTTGTTTGGATTAGAGCAAGCTGGGGGGGCATTTGAAGCCCCTTTATGGATAATTTTTGTTGCACCTAAATTTCTGTCCCCAGCTGGTTGACAGCCTATAACTAGACCAAATTCTTGCTTCGCACGTTTCTTATATATATATATATATATATAAATTGAAGTTAATCTTTTCTTTGCCATTTCAGGTCTATTTTGAAGAGTACACAAAGGGGACACGATCGCCATAAGATAATTTCAGCCTTAAAACACAAACACAATTGTGTGGTCCATGAGGACTAGGAGTTTGACTATCTTGACCCTCATCTTCAATTCTATTCAAGTTTATTTATATAGCGCCAAATCACGACATGTCGTCTCCAGGCCCTTCACGTAATAAAATATTCCAATACAGGTCAGTTCATTAAACCAATCAGAAAAAAAGTTTCCTATACAAGAAACCCAGCAAATTGCATCAAGTCACTGACTAGTGTCAGTGACTTTACAGCAATCCTCATACTAAGTAAGCATTTAGCAACAGTGGAGAGGAAAACTACCTTTTAACAGGAAGAAGCCTCCTTGAGAATCCTGGCTCAGTATAAGCAGCCATCCTCCACGACTCACTGGGGATCGATAAGACGGAGCAGACACACACATACACACACACCAGCCCACAAACACAAAGTTGACTCCCTTGGATTAGATCATCCATGGATTATTTTTTTCTGCTGAGGTAACCTTGGGTCTGGTTAGTCCTTTGACGGAACCTTTGCCCATGCTGGCACTATAGTAGCTAATGTGACCCTTGCACAACAAACTTCAAAGTGTTCTTTGCTTCCAGATTCTCAATCTCTCTCCAGTTGACCGTGTGGTATTTGAGCAAAACATGAAGCGGAGTATACCATTAAATCTGACAACTGGTACAGCAGCAGATTTCATGTGTAGTGTGCTGGTAGCCAAACGGAAACTTTTTGAAGGTGGTCATAGTGATGTTTAGTGAAAGAGTATAACACCTAAAACAGAAGTATTTCTATCTTAATGTGTAAAAAAAAAAAAAAAAAAAAAAAAAAAAAGTCTACTTTGATGGATGTACTCACAATCATCTGTGTTTAGGTCACCTCTCAAGAGCACCCATTGTCAGAAGAAGCCCAAGTTTTGCTGCTGGTTCCTGGTTCTGTTCTTCCTGCTGGTTGTTTTCTGGTGTTGCGTTGTGTCATGGTGGGAGAATTTTCCGCTGCACAAACACTATGACGGGTTCTCTAACCAATGCTATAAAGATAAAGAACCTGTGTTTCAGGTCAACCAAAAACACTCTGGTATGCTCACTGAAACTCATACAACCACAGAACCCCCTACTGTGCAGCCTGGTATTCGCTACCATCAAGCCTATCCACGCAACTACCAGTTTGTAATGGACAACAGAGATGTTTGCAAAAGCAGGACACCTTTCCTGGTCCTGATGGTTCCAGTGGCACCACACAATGTTGCAGCCCGGGATGCAATCCGACAAACGTGGGGAAAGGAAAGCGTGGTTCAGGGCGAGGTGGTCCTCACGTTGTTCATGTTGGGCTTGTCTAATGATGCTGATACCGAGAAGATCAAACAGGAGAACGAGCAGCACCACGACCTGATCCAGAGTAGCTTCATGGACACGTATCTCAATCTGACCATCAAAACCTTGGTGATCATGGACTGGCTGGCCACACGCTGCCCAACAGCAGCATATGCAATGAAGGTTGACTCTGACATGTTCCTGAACATTGACAACCTGGTGATGATGCTACAGAAACCAGGAATCCCCAAGCTAAACTACCTGACAGGAATGCTTATGTGGGACAGGCCAGTAATCCGATCAAAGGACTCCAAGTGGTACGTTCCAGAGGAGATGTACCCTGATCCTCAATATCCAACATACACTCTGGGTATGGGTTACGTCTTTTCCAACGATCTTCCATGGAAATTTGTAGTAGTTTCAAAATACATCAAACCCTTTAACATAGAAGACGCCTATATTGGAATGTGCATGAAAAAACTTGGACTTGCTCCAACCTCGCCACCAGATCCTTCCCAGTTCAAGGCCTATAACTCAAAGTACAATCGCTGTGAATACTCTAAAATCATTACCTACATCCTGGGCACGTCAGAGGAACTGAAAAAAACCTGGAACGATTATAAAAAGCCTGGACTGCATTGTTAGAGCCACAGATACTGGAAATACAGAAAAGTAACCTAAAATTAATATTTTTTTATACTGCATATTTTTTCTTTATTTTTTTAACTTGTTGTTTGAAAAATAAGACGCATGCAATATGCATTGATGTGCTGGCTAACATGTTGGTGCAAACTTTTATAACTACTTTCTAAATCTTGAACTGGGTTAAGATAAAGTAGCTCATTTTAGAGATCAGTTATGTGTCAAAGTTGCTAACTAAAGTTTTATCTAATTGTTTTTATTTTAAATATTTGGATAATTGTCTTTGCAGTGAATGCTCATGTAAATGGACCAACATTATGTTCATGCATTATCTTTGGAACGTAATACCTTTTTTAACAAAATAAAATTTAAAGACTATTCTTTTTGCACACCTTTTTTCCATTCCACTGAGACTTTTGCCATTGTATTTTTATAAACTGTTAATGACTTGTAATTCAGCGTTCTTAACTTATCTATACCTTCTATTTCTAATCTTATTCAATTCAATTCAAAAATGCTTAACTGATCCCAGAGAAAAATTGATTGCCGTAGTAGCTCAGAATAATAATAATATCAAGTCATCAAAGAGTTATTGTATATTACAATAGCTGTTGGCAGGAAGGATCTCCAGTAGCGGTCAGTGTTGCAGTGAAACTGACGAAGCCTCTGACTGAAGACACTCTTCTGTTGTCGGACAGTCTTGTGAAGAGAATGCTCAGGGTTGTCCATCATTTTCTTGATTCTCTGGAGAATCCTTCTTTGCGTTATCTCCTCCAGCGGTTCCACAGTCGTCCCCAGAACAGAACCAGCCTTTTTTATTAGGCTGTTAAGCCTTTTCAGGTCCCTGCTTCTGATGCTACTACCCCAACAGACAATGGCTGAAGAGATTACTCTCTCAACAACAGACTTGTAGAAGATGTACAGCATCTTGCTACAGACATTGAAGGACCTAAGCGTCCACAAGAAGTGCAGTCTGCTGTGTCCCTTCTTGTAAACGGCTTCGCTGTTCTTTCTCCAGTCCAGTCTGTTGTCCAGGTGAACTCCCAAGGTATTTGTATTCCTCAACACCTCCACTTCTTCTCCCATGATGGAAACAGTGTTTGACTCCACCCTGTTTCTTCTGAAGTCTAAAATCATCTCCTTTGTTTTGTTCACGTTCAAGGTCAGATGATTGTTTCCACACCATGCCACAAAGCGCTCCACCAGCTCTCTCCACTCAGCTTCCTGTCCATCTCTGATACACCCGATGACTGCAGAGTCATCTGAGTATTTCTGTAGATGACAGGTCTCTGATTTGTACTGGAAGTCTGAGGTGTACAGGGTGAAAAGAAATGGTGAGAGTACAGTCCCCTGTGGTGCTCCAATGTCACTGATCGCCTGGTTTGATGTGCAGTTCTTCAGCCTCACAAACTGGTCTGTTTGTCAGGTAGTCTTTAATCCAGGTGATAGTTGAGGCCCCCACCTGTGTCTTCTGGAGTTTCTGGCAAAGTACTTCAGGCTGAATTGTGTTAAATACACTGGAGAAATCAAAGAACATGACCCTGACAGTGTTGCCTGCTTTGTCCAGATGACAGTGGATTGGTTGAAGCAGCTGGATGATGGCATCTTCAACTCCAACTCCATGGCGATAAGTAAACTGCAGCGGGTCCTGAAATGTTCTAGTTTGCTTATTCAGGTGGACCATCAGGAGTCTCTCCAGGACCTTCATGATGTGGGATGTCAGGGCAACCGGTCTGTAGTCATCATTGACTGATGGGCGAGTTTTCTTTGGAACTGGAACAAGGCAGGGTGTCTTCCACAGGACTTATCACTGCTGACAGCCTGCTTTTACTTCTTTCTCTGCAAAAACCCAACGATAATTAATTCCTAGTGATGAGATGGTCAGGGAAGAAAAATATAGTATACAAAAGGTTAACAGCTTGATCAAAATTATATTTAAGCATAACATAATTGAGCTTTAGCTATTTTACAGGCTTTTAAAAAACAGCTGGGTTATGCCAATCGTTAATCCGATCGTGGTGCATGTAAACACTCGAGTGACTACTGCGCATGTGAGTAACGTCACACGTTTACGTACGTTACGTTGCCATTTACGGAAGTTGGAAAACATGGCGGGTGCGAAACAATACTGGTCTGTTTCGGACACAAATGCATTGCTGGATGTCCTCAAAGAACTTAAAATTGTAGAAAGGCTTGATGGTAGGAAGTCTAGAAACTCTGAGTTATTCATTCAAGTACATGAACGCTTGAAGGAAGGGGGATCGATCGAACAGTTGAACAGATAAAAAACCGATGGAAAAGTTTGAAGAACACGTACTACAAAGCCAAGAATCACAACAGCAGAAGCGGGTTCGACCCTTCCAGTTTTCCTTTCTACCGCGCAATAGACGAATGAATTCATGGCGGTGAGGCCGTTGTCAAATGTGCCTTTATTTGGCGTGGACATTGGGTTCGAGGAAGAGGTGGTGGACAGATGTAGCACACCCGTGAGCCAGAGCCTTGATGCTACTGAGGATAGCATTAGTGGTAAGTTTGTAAACCTCACATTTAAAAAACATAAAACATTTTTGAGAATATCAAATTTCAGACTTGGGTTTCTGTCGTTCAGATGAATCCAGCAGCGAAGCAGCAGAAGCCACTGAACAGATGCCCACAAACGGAGGAGACAGTTCTCATCCATCTAGTGAATCCATTAAAAAGAGTAAGTTATCGCTCGAGAGACTAAAATAGGTCAAAGTGTAATTGCTTTTTTTGTTGTTGGAGATGACATGTTTAACTGGTGAGTAAGGGACTATGGCAGGCTATAAAGCCAAATGTCCAGTCCAGATTAACACTAGTAAACTTGTTTATTTGGTAATTTGGACTGTTATAGGAAATTTGAAATGGGAGTTTATTCTTCTAAGTAATATTTTTACCATGTTATTCATTAATTGATAAATGTCAAAGTTTATACCCAAGTATGAAAAAAATGAACATTTAGCTTATTAACTAAATATTTAGTTTGAGGGTCACTAAAGCCACTTTTGATTTTTGCAATAATTCTATGTTTTCTTTTTGTATAGGTGGCAGTGTATTTTTTGCTACATTCAGTCTTCTATATCACACACTTATAATTCTTTTTAACTTTTTAGGAAAAAGATCAAGCTCATCTGGATATGCCAATTTGCACTTGGTCGACTGAACAGCAAGCATTTATGAAAAAAATGCAAGAGTCCCAAAATAGGCGGATTGAAGAACATCAAGAAAGAAGACTGCCGAGAGAGGAGCGTCTTGTCACACGATTCACTGAAGAGAGTTCCCGGTCCAAAGAGCGACTCGTCGGCCACCTTTTGGATGGCCTAAGAACCATCATTCGTCCACCACCTCCACCACCAGTAGCTCCATACTCCTCTCAGCACCATTACCGCAACTACGTTGGGTCGGCTGAGTTTGGCCAAAATGCACAACACTACAGTAATAATTACAATTCTGACTACACCCTACAAGATTTGAGCTCAAATGTGTGACTCAGATGTTTTATAACACTTATCTTAATCAGTTAATTTGAGATAGACACAATTCCAAATTCTGTTCTGTTGTTTAGAAGTATGCTATTTTAAACAATTCAGTTGTGACATTCTGGTTTCTTCAACTTCCCATGGTAGTTGCAGTGCATTAGCAAACTTGAATGATATAGAGTAGATGTTCTGGAGATGTATTTTTGCACTTTATTTATGTTCACAACAATAGTAGCTAAGTACAAACTTTTCTTTAAAGTACTCTTCATATGTTCCAGTATTTGTGAAGTATAACTCAGAAGTATAACTCAGGTGAAGAAATAAAAAACGTTTCTGAGGTCAGAACATGTTATATTTGTTTTGTTTGATATGGTGACCTGATGACAAAAAATTCCAGAGTTCACCACATGAAAAAGCACTGTATATGCTTTTTTTAATTTAAATGCTTTGGAAAATGTTTAATTTCGAGACTCCTTAGAAGAGTATTCACACAGCACTAGCTGCCAAGTTCAAAAAGTACAGCAGAACGTTCATTTAATTGAATGGATTAATGAATGGTGCTTTAAGCACAAAGTAATGCTTCATTGTTCTTGTGCTATAATATGCACAAACCTGTCTTTCAGTACTTGGGGAAACATTTTTCTGAACTTAAAATGGGTAACTTTGGACATTTTTGGTAAATCTGGAACCAAGAAACACTTAGTGTAGGTGTCCTGTTCGGAGTGGGAATGTTGTGTCCAAATAGGTAGTCAACACCTCTCTAGTGCTGCTTCCACAACTGCTGCACTGGAGATCAACTGGCTGGTTGGGTTGAGGAAAATTAATTGCCCGATCGCAGGCCTCCTCCAACCAGCTGTTGCTGGCCTGGTCTTCTTCGTTCTGACAGAAGTTGTGCAGTGCACAGCATGTGGAAATCATGGTTGGTGCAAAAGTGAAATGAAAGTCACTTATTTTTAGCAGAACCCTCCACTTTGACTTTAACAATCCAAAAGTCATTTCCACTCCAACCCTGACTGAGCTGATGTAGGTGTTGAAGGACTCCTGCTCATGAGTCAGCCGAGGTGAGTTTGAATATCCTTTGATCAGCCAGTCAAGAAGTGGGTAGGCAGGGTCTCCAACTATTAAAAGATTGGTGTCTTTCCCCCCAATGGTCTTGATGCCCTGTTACAGAAAAGGGAATGAAGTAATTTTTTTATTAATATGTGATTTAAAAGCACATTGATGTATTTTTAAATCCAGTCAAGCAGTCATTTCAAGCGGCTCTCTCCATTCAAAAACATGTTTTCTTACTTTGGGTAGGAGATGAGCCCTTTTGAAGAGGTCTGACTGGGGTAGGGCATTTGCATCATGTGCACTGCCTGGCATTTTACAGCTGATGTTCCAAAACCTTCATGAGAGGAATAAATCAAACCAATAAAAACTGCTTTATTGTGCACATGATTAGCTGTAAACAAAGGGGTCATTCTAATAATTTGGTGCAGTTTGAGGTCTCAGGTTACTGAAAAATCTACCCCCACTAATTTATTTCTGAACATGGCAGGTGATGGAGTAGTAATTTTTACCTGAATTTGTCATCTACAACAGCCTGGAGTAGGTAGGATGGCCATCCTTTACGATTTACAAAATCCTTGTAGCCGTCTGAAGGAGGAAGGATGGGAATGTGTGTTCCGTCGATAAGCCCCGTTATTTGTGGAATGTGATGGGAAGCTTCAAACCGTCTGGCTATCTCTTTTGCCTCTTCCTCAGTTGGTGCACGGATCAACTGCTAGATTGGACCCTGCACCATGCCTTTGCAGAAAATGTAAACAGACTTCGTTTTGCTGCTTTTACTTATTCCAAATTGGTTCGCCATGACTCTGTATTCTGCACAGCTACCCAGTTTATACAGAACTACTGCAATCCGCATGATGACAGGAACAGCAGCGCTCACACACAGTAACGTCTTCTGGAGCCATATAACTCTCCATTAACGAGCAAAGTTTCATGAATGACGCTCGTGACATGCGGAAAGTCTGCTTCCGCTCTTGATCGGTGAACTCCAAAAGAATAATCCTCTCCCACCAGTCTTTACTCCTCACCTTCATCCGGGGGCTCCTTGTCTTTGCAGGAGGCGGGGGGACTAAAGTTACGGTTCTTGGTATTAAGAATTTTTCATCCTGCTGTCTCCTCCTATTTAACATCTGGAAAACTATAAACAGTTTGGTTTGTATTTGCAAAATTGTGACGACAAAAAATAAAATTACGCTCCGAAAAACATCGCAGTGCTCCATTTTTACACGCACGCAGCCATGTTTGTTTACAGAGGAAGTCCGCTACTTCTTCTACGGTCTTTTTCGGTGTATAGATACAGCTATTTCAATTAGTTTTAAATAATTAATGCCTTATTTTTAGTTTTTTCCTTAGTGAAATGTGATTTATATGCATTTTTTATATTTGTTTTATGAGGTTGATACATTGCTTTGCTTGTTCTTGTTTTACACTGTATGTCTTATAATGTGCTTTTTATCCTATGCAGTATATGTAATAATATGTATTTTTTTTCAACGAAGAGAACCCCAGGAAGAATAGTCTTCACTATGAAAATTAGAGGGGATCCTTAAATAAACAAACAAATGTCATGAACTTTTTCCACAATATTCTAATAATCTGAGATGCTGAATTAGGGAATCTCAGTTCAGTTGTAATCATCTAACCCTAAAGAAATAAACATTTGAAAAACATCAGTCTGTGTGTAATGAATTAATCTAATATACAAGTTTCACTTTTTGAATGGATTTACTGAAATAAATATGCTTTATCATGACATTCTAATTGGATGACCAGCAGCTGTATATCAACAGACCTGCGATGCATCTTTCCAACAGAGAAACATTTGATTGTAACCATACATGTACAATAATGAAATATTCCCCTGGACAAGAATGCGCAATCGAGGGGTGCCAGGGTGGAAGTGCAACTGGGCCTGATGCTCTCCTGTAGTACCTGAAACTGTTGCCCCATCCCCGCCCCCATAGTACGACTTGCTAGGGTACACTGCAAATGTATTGATTTAACGATTGTTCCACACCTTTAAAGGAGACATAACATGAAAAACCCACTTTTTTATCCGTTAACACAGTGTGTTTCACATTTTAAGTGTCTAAGTGAGCAAAAAGGCTTATATTATTCACTGGAGTTGCTATTTAGATATTTAATAATTAAGTTTTGGGCATATTTGTCCACCCGTTCAGTTTTTCAAATTATCTATTAAATCAGTAATTTATTTCGTCAGGATAACTACCAAATATGGTAATGGCCCTCGGCTAAACACAGAGCCAATCCGCCATTTTTTCATCTCGCTAAGATTTTTTGTAGTCCTATTGGAAAAATGCAGAATGTCTGGTTATTTTAGCCACACACAGCTCAAAACTGTTCCTCGTTTTAAGGAAGGGTGGTGTGGCAGTATTTAAACCCAGGAGCTGATGACACTACTGCTAAAAAAAAAACAGAAGAAAAAGTAGTGTGTGTGTGTGTGTGTATGTGTGTGTGTGTGTGTGTGTGTGTGTGTGCGCGCGCGCGTGGTTCGTTCGTGTCTCCTGGCTAGTAAGTACCGAGGGCTTCATCTATCTAAAAGGAGTCATTTCCTTCTGAATGTGACAGCACCAGGACACAGCAGCAGAGCGGTAAGCTTCATATATCTCTAAAATGTCGACAAACTTTACTTTAGGTTTACGGGCATTAGCAGCACTAAAGCGTTAGCATCCGGCTTGCTATCGCTAGCACAGTATGCTAGTAAAGTTAGCACCCAGATTAATGTGGATTTGGCTGATTTTCGTGGAATAAAATGTGATTTCTGATCAACGCCTTCTTTTACACCAGATGTACATCCACTGACTGTAACAGCAGAGAGCCTGTGTGTTATTTTACGTGAGTGTGATGTAATCTTAGCATCCAGTAAATAAAGTCCCATATCAGCTAAAATGCAGCGTGACAAAGTCATTAAAGTGCGTCAACACAGTGGATTTAATAGTTTTAAAGAACAATCTCTGAGTGAAGTGAGGTTAGTTTTTTGTCTCACTGCAGATATAAAAACGAACTCTGCATCAGTCAGACGCAGCAAAGCTCACCGTCTGTATGAGCGTGAGCATCGGAAAGCTGATAAAATCGGCTGTAAAATAATTAAAACAAAGTAAAAATGTTCCTTTGCTTTTTAGAGTCCACATCCAGAAGGCTGGAGCCGTGTTTCACTGACAGGCTGTCAGACTAACGCCCTGATGAGCTCAGCTGGGACAAACTGGTCTGATGTTTAGGTAAGTGAAGATCTGCTTCTCCAAGGCCTTGAGATGCTAGTAAAAATAATTTAGCCAGCTTGCTAATGTTACTTTTCTTCTCCTCTAAGGAACACAGAACGTTCAGATGTTGGAGCTCACGTCACCTACTGAGGAAGGAGACCCACCAGTAAAGAGACGGTCTGGACCAGACCAACGTGAGTGATGACACACCTCAGCCACCCTCATCATTAAGAACACCTCACCCCCTGAATCCCTCCATCTGATGACAGCAGAGTGATTTATTTGATGTTTTACTTGTTTAGTCTGTTTAGAAATTATTGAATTACATTATTTTCTGTAATCGACCATCTGATCTGGATGTGTGCAGAATAACTTTCCCCAAATTCAGCAGCAGCTGGCCTACAAAAACAGCTGCAGCATGTAGTAAGTCTGTCTGCACTGCTCTCTAATGAGCTTCCTTTCATAAGGAATCATTTGTATAATTTTAGTGTCACTATTTTATTACATTTGTAAGAATATGAAGTCACTGCAGCAACACAAACGTGACTATAAACATGAAAGCTAAAGAAACAACTTTCCTAAAGCTGCTTGTAAACAAAATATGTCATTAAAGTTATCGTCTATCATTGCAGAATATGGCGATGACATCATGGAACTGGTCTTTGGAAAAGTTTTCCCTGAACCAACTCCGTTTCTAGATGAGGTAGAGAAGATCTGCATCTCACCAACTCTCTGGTCTCAGTATTCAGACAACGGAGGTCTCCCACTGTTATCCAGGACCAGTTTGAAGCCCACATACTTCCCCTCCCTCATCATCAGGAAACATCAATCCGTATCCTGAGGACAACAGAAGACGGCAGGAGGACAGGAACTCTGAGACCTAGATACCACAGCACCGGGACACAAAGCACCTGTGTGCACAATGCCTGTTTAACTACTAAAACCTGTTTATTATATAGTTCTACTTATTTGCTGTGAGGTTAATTCTTAGAAAATTTGTATTTTAATGTAAACAATAAAAAAATCACTGATTGTATGTTTTCTTTTAGATGTAATGGTCCAAACTCCGCCTTGTAGACATTTATTGCATCCTGTAGGTAAATACACAGAACAGGCTCAGATCCAGGATGACCCAGCATGCTCTTCTTCCATTCTGGCTGTTAGGGATTGTATCAATAACTCAATGCCTACTGATGTTTCCACCTAATGGTATTTATTTAGAATGCAGGTAAGATTTAACTATATTTGTTAGCAAAGCAGACTGATCTTGGGAATTTCACTGCAGCACTGATTTCCACCTCTCTGTACACATTAGAGAGAATTACCACTTTACAGCTAAACACATTTAATAAAGATATAGGCTACGCATTGCAGACAATAAAAACAAAGTTCTAAGCATTAGAATTATAATGATCACATTAAAGAACATTTGGAGGAATGTTTTTTATTTTTGACTAGAATCTCAAATCTTTAAATTAAAATGTAACTGCTTTTTATCCATTTTCAGCCATTAAGATACCCAATATTAAATAAGACTACTTATAAAATTATTTATGTATATATATATAGATAGAGATCTTAATAAAATATATTTTAATGGTGTTTTAATGAGCTGTATCATTTTTTAAAACATTTTTTATAGAAATAAATAAGCAAGCAGCATTCCTTGTGTGTGTGCGCGTGCGCGAGCCTGCTCGCTTGTCTCGTCGGCCGTGACGGATGTGTGTGTGTGCGCGCACGTGCCTGCTCACTTGTCCCTCCGTCGGCCGTGACAGGTGTGTGTGAGTGACTACAGACAAATGCATGAGAGAGTTAGCAGCCTTGGAACAGCTTGATGAACTACTCTCCCCACATGTTTTAAAAATGCTAATCTGCTATGCTAAATCTGCTATGCTAAATAATGATTTCTCTATAGAACTACAAAGTCCGGCTGGGGGAGGAGAGTACAGGTCTGCAATATGGAGGGGGGCGGAGTTTACAGCTCCTCCTCCAGTTTAAAGAGACAGTACCCAAAAACGGCTCGTTCTCAAGACTCTCCTCAGAACAGGGGTAGATGAGGGTCTGTAGAGCAACAATAATGAGGAAATCAGACCAAAGAACTGCAGTTCCACTGTTTTTAGACCCCCAACTGAAGGATTTAGATGTAAAAAGGAATAACTTAAAAGCATGTTATGTCTCCTTTAAGAAGGGTGGGGCAGACCTTTTGAGATATGTCTCTATGGCTTTGGGGTGGGGTGAGGTGACTACAGATCAGTCAAAGAAAGGGTAAATGAAGGGGGCGGAGCTATCACCCTCGGGCATTTCCGTGAGTCGATTCTAATCCGTTAACACTTTTCGAACCAATTAACATTTCCCGTTTCAGGACAAGATAAAGTAGTTAACGGTGTACTTTTGGTTGGTTGTCGGGCTTTTTTATTGGGACCTGAAGTTAGGGAGCAACAGGGAAGTAGGTGTTTTCCTTGTGTCTCAGGGCGGTGTTCAGACTGGTAGGACCATCTGGTGAGCTGCTTGAGGCACCTGAGCTACGTTAACATGAACACCGTTCTCCCACGAGGGAATGTACCGCTCAGCAAAGACGGTAACGAACAGAGGAAAGTCTTAAATTAGCTAAAGGTACGTGGAGCTTGTGAAAACATTCACCTGTGTGTCTCGCGCTGATATTTCTCACACCACAAGCTGTAATGGAGACTGTTCTCAAAGTAAACTCCAAGGATGGCCTCGTTTCGGTAAAAGCTTATCATCTTGACATTCAGGCTTTGTTAATATTTTTTTAGTAACTATTATTAAGTTAAAGAGTCTTTTTATTGACAGGAAATGTACAATTACCAGCAGACAATTGTCATTTGTGTATAATTGTTCTAAATTAGTTCATCGGATGCCTTCCTTATCCTTCAGATCTTAAATGTTGCAAAGATGGTTATTAAAGTATGAGATGTAACCCAAAATGCAGTTTTAGTGAAGCTACAGACCAGAATGGATGTAGAGGGAAATGGGACTTTTTTCTGCTTTCATATTCTTTCCAAAGAATATATGAATTTGATAGGTTTTCGATTTCAAATTCCTGTTTTGTGTACATAAACTCCATCTGATAAAGACGAAGCTCTGATCATAGGCTGCACGTGGCACAGTTGTTCATCTCAGTGAGATAGTAGGTTGGTGGTGGCCTTTCTAAATGGAGCTGGCATGCATATGAAGGTTGTCTCAGTTATTCAGTTTCCTCCCACAATCTAAAGTAGTTGATTCACAAGGCTGGTATCTCGACATCATACCTAAAGTGCTTTAGATGAAAGTATCTGCTAAATATGTATTGATCAAATACTAGATGATTCCAAAATACATTTGCAGTTTTTTTAAGTAATTGCACAAATAGTTAAAAATGCAATAGTTAAAGATGAATGTGGAACAGTTAAATAAAAATCTATTAGAGGTGTGCAGAATGAAGGAACAGCATTTTCTTAAAAAAATACATTTTAATATAATTTATGAAATATTTATTCTCACAGCATGTCACTGGTTAATGGTTACATCTACCATCCAATAGAGGGCACCATTGCGGGTTGCCAAATACAGCAAACAATCCCCTTGGCAAAGCGAGGATGTAGGGCTGGGCGATATGGCCTCAAATCTATATTGCGATATAATCTGAAACATGTGCGGTAACGATATATATTGTGATATATTTTTTCCTCTGTTTATTTATGTTAAAATAACATGCTTTTAAATATTCTCATGTGGCAAACATATGCCACTAGAGGCATATAGGCCTCCGCCCACTCCATGCTTGCAGTCACTGCCATTCTGTTGCGTTGCCCCAATGTCAGCAGGGTGCACATCTTAGTGACGTCATGTATTATCTCAATATCGCGGTATTGCGATATAGCCAAAAACTCTATCATTACCCAATTTTATATAATTTCTACCTTATATCGTTTATATTGCCCACCCCTACGAGGGTGGCACTGTGAAAATGGTGGACTCGGCAAGTCAAGCAGCTGCTTCTGAGCCCAGAAGACGTTTTAATGTTAAAGGGGAACTAAGCAGTTTAGGCTTGCTTTTAGCACCCCCTAGTGTCCGTTTGTAGAATCGAAAGCAAAACCTGTCTCCTCCAGTGTTTTCCCTAAACTATTTCCGGGGGGGGGGGGGGGGGGGGGGGGGTGCGCACAGTGTTTCGCGTGCGTGCGTCATCTTGAGAGCGGGGGTGGGTGGATGGATTTCGTAGCTGTGTCGCTGCGCCACGCCTGAGATTATGCAGAGAAAACATTGGTCCTCACTCTGCATTTGTTTTTTTAACACCTTTATCTAACGGCCTCCACAGGCTTCCCTAGTATTCACAGGAGTGATTCATGTCTGGAAGTTCCGATAAAATTACCCTGAAGTTTTGATAGTGGAAACACACCTAATGTTTTGAAATGTTCCCACTCGGACATGCCTGATCGAGAATGCAGATTTTTCTTATCAGGTTTTGCAGGAGCTGCTCATTTTAAACAGAAATGCAATGTTTGAGCAGGGAAAACATCTAAAACCATCAGAAATCTGGCACTTGCGATGCTAGCACATCCCAGCAAATACTACAATGTAGCACATTGTTGAACCCTACACTAATCTCTTAACTCCAGAGATACATCCATTTTAGTACCCTTCCTTCTTCCACAGTTGGCTTGAAGTTTGCAGACAAAACATTTCAATGCTGGTCAAGTTAGCATTCAAGCTAGGTTGTTGTGCTAAGCTGACTGAGGCATCTGTGTCAGTGCATGCTGGGTACTGGGGCTCATTCTTGCTGATTGACAGCTCTCTTGTGGATACGCAGCTCTGTTGGTTGACGCTCTAGACTCGCGTAAATTATTTAGTTTTGCTGTAGAGGCTGGGGAGAGACTTAGGGCAAATATGAAATGAATGATTACCTACTTTATATCATAGAACAGTGTCATATACCGTAAATCCTCTAATACAGGCCCGGGCCTGTATTTGACTCAAGCTCATCAAGCTCCAGGCCTTTATTGGAAGGAGGGCCAGTATTAGAGGCAGGCCTCCTTTTCTATTTGAGCAAAATGAACTAATGGTTTGCTGGAGTTTTTGACAATTAAAATTGTGCCCACATTTTCAAAGTTAAACACATTTCTTTTAACAACGGTAGTTTCTGCTTCAGCCCTCTCCCCCCTCCCCCCGCGCAGCAGCCGCAAACTCACTGATGCGCCTGCAGCCTCTCGGAGTTCCTGCTGCTCTAAACATTAAAATAATTATTTCATTTTCTGTTCCTCACTTCTGATTACCTTCAATGGTGTCTGTATGTTGCAACAGCAGGTACAAAAACTAACTTGTTTTTATTTGACTATTTTTCTGTCCTGTCTGTTTATTATCTTCCTGCATCTCCTCTCAATCCTAAAGAAAAACTGCTGCCTGGGTTCATATATATTCACCTTATGAGTTACCTTTGAACTGCAGTTCTAAAATATCTACCGACCGCAAAAACAGCGGAGCGCTTGCTGTTTGGCGGCCGTATCAGTGATCAGTGCGTTGGAGGACAAGTTGATGCGCGCACCGCCCCGCTCCACAGCATGCAGCGAAACGCATGAGGCGCAAATAAAAGACAGAAAACAGGAAATGAACCGACATGAACGATCGCGTGTCAGTACCTACGGTCTGGCACAGCGCATTGCTGATCACAGAGAATGTGATCATACGATAATTCAATAGGGAGCGTGGTTTCACAGACGCGGAAGTGATAGCGTCGGTGAAACGCCGGCTGCTCTAGGAAACCCCCGAGCGTTCGAGCATCAACGAAGTGACACGGAAATGCCGGGCTTTCCAGAAGTAAGTAAGATAACTTACTATGACCTGATAGTTCGTTGGATTGATCGGTAGGTTGGAAACTCTGATCATGAATCTGAAGAAACGATGACTGAGCTGTAAAGGCGACTTCCGTTTATAGCCGCGGTTTGTGACGTAGGTGCGACGTGGAGGGAATCCCCGCGAGGGGCATGCTGGGAGTCCCTACTTCGCGGATTTTCACCTATCGCGGCCTGGTCTGGAACGCATCTACCGCGATAAACGAGGGATTACTGTAGTTCATACACCCCCTACTGCTGCTCCCCAGAGTGTTCTGCAGCATAATCAGCACGTTATCTTTGAACTTGATAGTGTAATGACCTGGCTGGGGTTGTAAGCCAGGTGCATTCTGGGTATTGTGTTATATGTGTTTCCTATCGTTCTGCTAGTTCCTATGTGCTGATTTGCGTGTTGTGTGAGTGTTATGTAAGCCACACGGAAGGTGATGTGTGTTCTGTGGAGCGGGTTGAATTAGCATGGTTAACTGACACCGTGACTCTGTGTGGTAGGAGCGTGATAGAGGATCATGTCTGAAGCATTATAAAGCTTGAAGAAAATGCCTAATAAATGTCTGCGTGAATCCCTACTGCCCCCTGCTGGTTGATTTAGGGACTATAACCCTGCCGCTGGGACGCTTGTACTTGCTTGTTACCACATTCCATCCGGCCACAATAAGAGACCGGCCATTATTTACCTCCGCTGACTCTGACACCGGCCAAAATTGGAGACCCGGCCTTTAATTGAATACCGACCTGTATTAGAGGATTTACGGTAGTCATGCTTAAGCATTTTTTTAAATTGCTTAAAATATTTAAAACCACTCTAAGGCTGGGCAGTTAATCCAAAATGTATCGTTATCAAAATTTCTGACTCTTATCGAGATTATTTTCCCCCATGTCATTAAATTTGATAATTTAAAACATGAAAAGATGTGTGTAGGTTGGCAACGTTCATGTCCCTTTAAGAAGCTGTACCACCTTGAGTCATGTAAAAATGTGACTCATGTGACTCAATGTAATACATGTGACAATCCCATCTAGTGGACTACTTTTGTTTCTGTACATACCTATAGTTATCAAAGTGAAATCCTCAATATATTGTGATATTGATTTTAGGCCATATGGCCCAGCCCTACTACATGCTCAAGCTTTATCATAAGCATATTATTTAAATGATTATAAGAGCGATATAAATGCAGTGTGAGGGTGCTCATTTCACTTAGTGCTTCAGCACATCTGATTTGAACTGGAATTTTACCACATCTGTTATTTGTTTACCAAATCTTTAGGGCAGTTACAGATACTGTGAAAATTGAGCTGAGCTGATTGGCCTGGTAGAAATGTGTTAGGTTTTGTGCGAAACCTGATCTGCTTCAGACATTTACTTTGTTCCATTGTTGCACGCTGATCTTAGTCAAAGGAAAGAAGAACCTGTTTGACAACTTTGGAGATCCGAAAGTAGTTGGTAGTATTCTTGAAAGCATGCAGGTCTCTTTTTGATCTTTTTTTTTAGTTTCACTGAATTATTTTTGTAGGATATGCAGAAGTTTAACAGCACTTTGCATTTTCCCTTCCCTCTGAGGTTTATGTCTGTTTTCATTAGAAATACATCAGCTAATGACTTTATGCAGCCTGTCTTATTTTCCAGTTTCCTTGTTATTTTCTTTCATCCTCATATTGTTGGTATGACGATATCATAGACTGCTGACACAAGTAGTTTTTGTATAGTGTAAAAATTGTTGAGCTGCGCTTATCAAACTGACGTGGCTCACACAGGAGCTTTTTGAACCATGTAAGACAATGCCCTCACATGCTGCAGATTTTTATCTGTTTAACAGTGGATATTGTTTATATTCTTTACATTAATAAAGTATCTTTGAATTGAATTACAACATTCACAGAACTCATCAGATTTCAGGGATGTTGGCCTTTTCTGCCAAAGCTCCAATTGATTGGAATGAATTACCTGCTAATTTGATGTCTATTACATGTTTTTGTCAGTCTAAAACACATTGTTTGGTTTTGGTGCATGAACACATGCCCACTTGCAGCTGTTTCAGATTTTCTTTATTGATTAACATTTATGCATCTACAGTAACTCTGTGCTATGTGTGGTTTCATGAATGTTTTGATTTGTTGTGCCGTATGTATGCTGCTTATGTATAGAATCAGAATAAAAATGATTTTAATGGAAATCATTTTCCATATACAAACTTTATCCTCGCTGCTGCTCTCCTAATTCATGTTGTCCACATAAGAGGTGACAGAGAGAGACTTCAGCGCTGCAGCTCATGTTCCTTATCAGAACAGAAACTGACTTGTGTGACAAAGCAGCAGAGATTTGGTTTTGTAATTTATTGCATTGACTTGATTTTAGTGAGGTTAGTACACATGATGTGTAACACATCGTAGCCATAAATGCTATGGTTTATACATTTATATTAGCATTTTCTCCATGCTTTTGTTACTTTTTCACCACTATTACAGAAGCTGAAGAGCCAGAACGATGGCTTTTCTCATCTCGGCTCATCTCACCACAGGAAGCATTCTGGCCTAAAACAGCTTTCAGTTTTGATTCATGGAAAATTTACTAATGAATATATTTGCCTAAGGTTCATGTAAGTTATACTAGAGGTTTTTTAACACATCCGCAACATCATAACAACAACGCCATTCCCATCTGTACCGGGTCGGCCCGGCCCGGGTAGCCCCAGTCGGCCCCAGCCTGGCCCGGTTGATTCCACACATCCTTGCCTTAAATCCATGTGGGCTGATTCTACAATCAGAGGCTTGCTCTAATGGAAGGTGTGAATTTGCTGTCAGCAGTGGGTGTGTTGGCCCTGGTCGGCCTGAAGCAGACCCCCTCGAGAAGAGGGCTGAGAATGAGCCTTGGTTGGCCCGGAAAAATACCAGGCCACCCAGATATGTAAACAACCTACGCTACCCGGCCCGGCCCGACCCGGTACAGATGGGAATGGCCCATAAGGGGCCAAAAGTGTGCCAAGAAATCATCCTCCACACCATTACACCACCACCACCAGCCTGCACAGTGGTAAAAAGGCATGATGTATCCATGTTCTCATTCTGTTTACGCCAAATTCTGACTCTACCATTTGAATGTTTCAACAGAAATCAAGACTCATCAGACCAGGCAACATTTTTCCAGTCTTCAACTGTCCAATTTTGGTGAGCTGGTGCAAATTTTAGCATCTTTTTCCTATTTGTAATAGAGATGAGTGATACCCGGTAGGGTCTTCTGCGATTGTAGCCCATCCACCTCAAGGTTGTTTGTGTTGTGGCTTCACAAATGCTTTGCTGCATTCCTCGAGTGTAACGAGTGGTTATGTCAGTCAAAGTTGCTCTTCTATCAGTTTGAATCAGTCGGCCCCTTTTCCTCTGACCTCTAGCATAAACAAGGCATTTTGCCCACAGGACTGCTGCATACTGGATATTTTTCCCTTTTCACACCATTCTTTGTAAACCCTAGAAATTGTTGTGCGTGAAAATCCCAGTAACTGAGCAGATTGTGAAATACTCAGACCACCAACAACCATAACACACTCAAAATTGCTTAAATCACCTTTCTTCCCATTCTGACATTCAGTCTGGTGTTTAGGAGACTGTCTTGACCAGGACCACACCCCTAAATGCATCGAAGCAACTGTCATGTGATTGGTTGATTAGATAATTGCATTAAGGAGAAGTTGAACAGGTGTTCTTAATCGTTTAGATGAGTGTATAAAAGCAGTGTGTAGATTTTTCAAATCAAATCAAAGCTTTATTTATAAAGCGCCTTCCGCAACCCTGTCAGGAAGCCCAAGGCGCTGAACACTGTACAGTACAAAGTTAAATAAAGTGAATAAATCAGAAAATAAAAGCAATTCAAATTACAAAAAAGGTGAAACATTCTAGTAGAAGACAAATGTGTAAAACAAGGGAAAAATTGAACCAATGAAAACTGTGAGATAAAATCAACATAAATGGCGGCCTAACTCAAATACATTCAGGGAACGCCAAGTGGAGGAGGTGTGTTTTTAGGCGGCTCTTGAAGACTGGCAGAGATGGGGACAGCCTAACTGAGGGTGGCAACTGGTTCCATAGTGACGGTGCTAGGACTGAGAAAGCCCGGTCCCCGCGAGTACGACACCTAGAACGAGGGACAACGAGCAGGCCTTGGTCAGAGGAGCGCAGAGCGCGTGATGGGGAATGTTTGTTCAGGAGCGTGGCCAGATAGGGGGGAGCACCACCCTGGAAGAAATTAAAAACAAAGACGAGGAGTCTGAATTGTGAACGATCGCAAACCGGAAGCCAGTGCAGGGAGGCCAGAACTGGACTGATGTCCCGTTTCCTGGTCCCAGTCAGGAACCTGGCTGCGCTGTTCTGCACAACCTGTAGGCGACGCAGTGATGACTGACACAACCCAATTTTTGTTGAGTTACATGCAAACATTTTACTTTATTTCTTTTGTGTGGTCCAATAACGTTTGACTGCTAGGTCTGTCGCCCTCATTACTAAACAATTATGCATTGTCACCCCCCTCACCCTCTGAAACAGTAACGCAAACGACAATTTATATCCGCCCAGTTTTACTTAATCAGACGGATTCCGATATATTAAAATATGATTAACGGACGTCCGGTTGGCAAGCGATGGCGTAGGTGTGCAGTTTGCTGGCTCCCGCTAGAATATCTGTTTTTATTACTCTCTTCACCTCTCCTCTATCCGTAACCCCGTTGGAATTTGGACATTAGCATCAGGAACAACATCACGAGCTGGGAAGTCATGTCTAAATCGACTAAAGGCAGCAAAAAGGACTCGGTAGCAGAAAGCACCTCGCACGGGCTAACGCAGCTAACAGAGCTAGCATGCCATTGACCGCAGCGCAAATCTCAGAGATGCTTGATAAACTCCGAATGAAGATTGGTACTGACTTTAAATCCTTGTTTGAGAATTTGGACATCAAACTGGACAAAATTCAAACCGATGTCTCGGGACACGGGCAATGCATCAAGGACCTTGAATCAAACGCAGAGGAAGTTAGCCAACCCTTAGGGAAACTCGAAACTGTGTGTGCGACTCTACAGGAAGACAACGCAGTGCTGAAGTCTAAACTTTCTGACCTCGAGGGGAGAAGCAGAAGGCTGAATCTACGAGTGGTTGGCTTGCCCGAGTCCCTGGAAGGTCCGCAGCCAACAGTGTTTTTTTTCCATGCGTCTTGTGGAGATATTTGGCGACCAGACCAGATCCTATCATCTCTGCCTGAGCTGGATAGAGCCCACTGCAGCCTTGCCCCAAAACGCCCAGTCCAGCGGGGCGTCCGACTTTAACCGTTTTTTGGATGCACGGTTAGATCGTTCCTCCTCTAAGCCTGCTAGTCTAAATAAGTCAGCCGAATATATTAGGTAATTTCTTGAAGATTTTAGCCTTACTGATCCTTGGCGTTTCTTATATCCAACCGGTAGGGACTACTCCTTTTTCTCTCACGTACATCTTACATACACTCGCATCGATTACTTTTTTTAATAGACAATCAGCTGCTCCCAAACCTTAAATCTTGCAGTTATGAAAGTATTACAATTTCCGATAATGCCCCCCTGGTTCTTAAAATGGCTCTTCTGGATAGTGACTTTGTGAAAAGGCATTGGAGGTTAGATCCGTCGCTGCTTTAGGGCTGTCGCGGTAACCGCAAAAATGAAATATCGCAATATGAAGAAGCCCACCGCTCTGCATCATGGGCCACCGCGATTACTGAACTTGGTTCAACTCAATGATGCATGTTGAGAAGGATGGCTGCACTGGTATCAAAACGAAACGTTACTTCGCTCCTTTGGGAGCACTTTGGTTTTCAGTACGTCAGCTGCTGCGCAGCCAGAGTCCTTGGCCGAGACAGAGCTGCCACCAGCGGCAAAAAATAATAATAAACGCTCGGAGACCTGCTGAAGTCCCGGACAAGCACTGCTTCTGCAACCGCCCCGAAGAGGGCTTGAGCCGAGCTGGAGCTCACTCGCTACCTGCAGGAGGAATGCATCCACCCTAAAGAAACCCCCCTGACATGGTGGAGCAACAACCGGGAGAGATTCCCTTTGCTCGCCAGAGTCACACGCAAGTACGTGTGCGTTAGTGCAACGAGCGCACCATCCGAGAGGGTTTTCAGTGTTGCTGGAAATGTTGCCACCCCTCTCAGATCCTCTCTCAAACCGTATATGGTTAACATGCTGGTTTTCCTTGTGGGTAACAAGGACGTGACCGAGCTATAAATCACCGTCATTCGTGTGTGAAAGTGAAATGATAGTGCGCCCGCCCGGTACATGTAATTTTTTATGCTTGATTTTAAACAACTAAACAAAATGGGGACTTGTTTCTTATTTGTTAGATGCTGCAGCCAAATTTGCATTTAAAAGTTTAACCTCCTCCTGAATTTTGTTGTTAAGTTCAGTCGGACTCTGACTGTCGGAGAAACAAACGTTACTGCGATCTGTGTTGTTACTGCCCTTTGATCTGCATTCAGTAAAGTGTTATAAAAGAAGGCACGGCAATTTTTAACCTTTTTTAAATGTGTAAACATTATGTTTAGATAGTACTGCAATAAAAAAAAGGGCTGCAATAATATCGCACACCGCAATATTAAGCCACCCTGAATCACCGCAGGGGGAATTCCTCAACTGCGACAGCCCTACGCTGCTTGCCGAGGAAACATTTGTTTCCGATATTTCCTCAAATTAAAACCTTTTTGATTGAAAATAGGACTCCAGGCATGCCTTGTCAAACAATCTGGGAAGCATTGAAGGCCTTCCTTAGGGGCAAAATTATTTCTTTTGCTGCATTTAAAAGGAGAGCCATGGAAAAGAGACAGAAGGATATTTCAGACCAAATTCTAAATTTGGATAGACTACATGCACACTCACCATCTCCTGCATTGTATAAAGAACGATTAAGGCTGCAGACTGAATTCAATATTCTTTCTTCCCGCCAGGTCGAAGGCTGTTTGATCAGAAGTAAGAGCAATTTTTATGAGCATGGTGAAAAGACCAGTAAAATTCTTGACAATCAGCTGCGCGATGCAAGGGCCAAACAATCTATACGGGGCATTAGGACAGACAGCGGGGACATCACATCTGATCAGACAGCAATCAATGACAAATTTAGAGCCTTTTCCTCAAAACGTTATACGTCAGATTCTACTACCTGTTTGTGCGATATGGAGAGTTTTTTTGAACTCTTTGGATATGTCTTCTATTCTCCCAGAAACTAGACAGAATCTTGAAGCACCCATCACCGTAGAGGAAATCAAAGCAGCTATATCATCCATGCAGTCAGGGAAATCACCGGGCCCAGACGGGTATTCAACTGATTTTTCAAAGAAGTTTTCCCCCTTTTTAAGTTTATAATTTATTGGTTCTTCTGAGTCTGGGAAACTTCCCCGTCATGTTTTCAGGCTTGCATTTCCATGCTGCTTAAGAAGGAAAAAGACCCATTTGACTGCGCCCCTTACAGGCCTATATCTTTATTAAATACCGATGTAAAGATTCTGGCAAAGTTGTTAGCTCGTAGGTTAGAAACTGCTCTTCCTTTCGTAATCTCTCCTGACCAAACTGGATTCCTTGGGAATCGCCACTCATTCTATAATATTCGCCGTTTGTTTAATATAATTTACACACCTAGTCACCGTGTAGCTGAATGCCTGTTGTCTATGGATGCTGAAAAGGCGTTCGATAGGGTTGAGTGGGATTATTTGTTTTTTACATTACAGAAATTTGGTTTTGGTTCTTTATTTCAATCCTGGGTTAAACTATTGTATGTGAACCCTGTAGCATCAATGCTTACAAATGGCCGTTGCTCTGATTACCGTATTTACCCAAATATAGGACGACCCCTATTATAAGACGATCCCCCCTTTCCAAGAGATTAATTTTAAGAAAAAGGCAAAATTCACTTTTTAAAGAAAACATTTAATATTTGAAAAATTTTTGGTAAATACAGTAATACCGTAATTACAGACTACTTTAATATTTACCTATTAATGCAATCACAAAAATCGGTTATGAAGCTTTTGGGGTTCTGTCAGGAAATCAATCAAATGTTATTTATATAGCACTTAATCAAACAAATAAAATCCAACTCAAAGTGCTTTACACAAACGGTACTGAACAAAAAAAAACCCCACTGTAGTCAAGCTAAGAACTTCT